CACTAACCTTTGGCGAGAAAATGTTTCATGTCGAGAGATGTCGTTGGAAATGAAATAAAATGGCTGATCTTGGATGAGAAGTACATTTCGTGTTTGAATCTCTTGAGGTGTACGCAGAGAATCTACGGGGAAATGATTGCATATTAGCAAATAACACATCAATTTGCCTTGGGAGAAATGTTTTCCCATTCCAGATCATGTGTCATTTTCTTGAGAATAAGATTTTTTATTTGAGTGGTATCCATATTCATGTGTCTTTTCATGTATAGCCGTTAAAAAAAGGAATGTTACCCAATAGAGAGGCTTTGCACCATCACGTGATGGCAGCCATGACAGGAGGCACGATACTAGACTTTTTCCCCTGGGAAACTGATTTCTTTCCCCTGTAAATCACTTTCATCGGTTCAATTTTTCCTGACTCTTGTCATGGCTGGCTGCCATGACATGATGGTGCAAARCCTCTATACCCTAGGAAATGAATGACGCGTGGTCTGGGAATGTRAAATAGTTGTACATGCAAATAGACAGGACATTTGAATCTAAGTCTTGAAGATATTTGAGGACTAAATTAAGGATTTCACTTCCAGAGGGTGTTGGGTACCAGTTCCAATTTGAAGTCTTTTGTTCACACAAGCTGAACGGACTCGAATCTAGGAAACGCAATCTTCTCATCTTTCCCTAAAAAATATTTAGCACCATCTGTGAATAGCAGTACTTACCTCGGGAAGTTTAAGAACTTTGCAAAGTTTGATACCATTTCTCAACCTATTATTAAAAATAAAAGAGAGAAAAAGAAAGAAAAAGAAAGACTTTTGAATGCGAATGGCAACGGGAAGTTTAAGAACTTTGGGAAGTTTGATACCATTTCTCAACATGTCATTAAAAATAATAAGAGAAAAAGAAAGACTTTTGAAGGTGCATGGAAACGCCTTGATTGAGATACAACAACTAATGAGAAAAACTGCATAAAATTCAGCTTCTTTCCTCCTGTCATTATTTGCCTTCATCTACTTGCATCACTTGCATCTCTCCTAGTTAAAATGCGTCCACAATATTTCTTGCTGCTCTGTAGTCTATTCTTCCTGGTACCTCTTCCCATTCATATTCCCTTTTCCCTTTTACTCCCACTGGTTAAAGTCACTCGATTTCCCTTATCCTGTCTTCCCATTTGTTCTATTTCTTTATATTTTCTGTCATTCTAATCCACTCTTTATTGAACCCTTTATCATTCCTTGCTCTTTATATTTCGCAAGCAGATTTCCTCTAGACCCTTCCTTAGTCTCTTTTACTTATTCCGCGGTTTTGTTCACAGCGAGATAGAGCATTGCAAAGATGTCTCGTACAACGATTACTTACTTTTTACATTTTTCACAACTGTACATGTTATCGCCTGCAATAAAACAAAGCATCACACAAGCACTTTAATGTTAAGAAACTCAATCAATTCAAAAGCATCAGTTTAGTATAGAGATAGCCCTTGCAGAGGTGTTGGTAAAGACAGAGATAGAGGTAGAGATGACACACAACCTGAGTATAGAGATAGCCCTTGCAGAGGT